TGTCCGCGGCGCCCGCGCATGCTCATCCTGTGCAACAGCCATTTCGACCGTGCTCAACAATCCTCACAAACCATCCCGTCCTATCGATCCCTCCTCGTCCCGATACCCACCGGTTGCAGCGACTCGGACAGATCTGCCAAAGATACGCAGAGCAGACTTTGACACCTATCTAAACTCGGTTCAGCCGGCATGGCAAAAGCTAGAAAGGAGCAAAAGGTTGGGCAGGAGCGGAAAGGCGAGGCTGGACGCTCAGGAAGGGGAAGAAGCCGAAGGCGAAGGGGGATCTGGAGAGGAACCTCGCACGCCCAAGCAACAGCACGGTGGAGCTAGACAGTCGATCGAGGAAGCGAGAAGCCTGGCAACAGGCTCGCAGCGGCTACCTCCTCTCAGCGCTGTGCCTCAAGTCTTCTTCAGCGAAGAATTCAATTTGGGCAACCCTTACACCTTCGACCTTGTCACGGAACGCTACAAAGCGAGCTCGGACCTGCAAGGAAGCTCGACTTTCGGCGGAGCCGCACATGGCGACGAAGCGCCAGATGGAGGCGTATACGATGTCGCTCTGAATCAAATGCTGCAGGAGAAACTGAGCTGGTATTCCGATGTCGTGGAGCAGCATCTTATCCTCGAGATTTCCGCCAGATCTTCGAGTTTCTTCGCTGCTCTTGGCAATCTGCAAGACCTGGAGGCGGAAGCTGCGAGCTGTTTGAAGCGAACGGAGGTACTGCAAGCCGAGCTGAAACGGCGAGATGAGAGCGAAGCAAAAGCGGGATTGAGGATCATCCGAGAGCAAGCTGCACGGCGCAGTATCTCTGAGCGTATGGCCGCCGTTGGAGTAGTGCAAGATCTGGTCCATCGACGCGACCTGGCAAAGCTATTGGTCCACAGCGGTCAATTTGAGGAGGCTCTCGACGTCATTTGCAGCTTGATGGATCTGCTCGAAGGTCGCGTCTCCCTCAACGAGTGGGGAGCAGGCGATGCGCTGCCTCCTCACCTTGATCTCGAGCTGGAAGCTGTACCAGCACTCGCAGGTTTGCTACCTCAACTGCGCGACATGAATCAGACGGTAGCTGGCCAATTGGAGAGCGAGGCG